CAATGGTGATGTAATTATTGAAGAGAGATGAAATGTAAGGGAATCCTAAATAGTCATCATTAAGACCATCTCCAATGGGATGGAAAATTTGGTATAAAAGTTTTGGTGTAAAATGATCTCCAATGGTATGGCAAATATGGTGTAAAATTTGGCGTAATTAAATAGTGTTCATTTACACCAAATTTGAAGTTTTTTTTATTATTCCCATTTTGCCCTTTCTTCTCCTTTACAAGAAATATTTATTCCATATATACCATTTTTTCTAATCTTTTAGGATTAATATATTTTAATTTATTTATAATTTTGTTAATGTTATGGTTATTTATATTTAAATTTTATTTTTAAATTCTAATCAAGTAATAAATAATAATTGTTTTTAAATTCAATGTAATTTTAATAATTGTATTATTCTGTTTAATTTTTTTAATTCATTAAATTTAATTTTACATTTAGCGATTTTATTAATAAAATAAATTTTGTGTAAATTTCGTGTTAGACCATCTCCAACGGACACCAAATTTGGTGTACTTTAGTGTAGACCATTGGAGATGGTCTTAGCCATCCTGGTTGATTAAAATGATTGTTAACTGCATGGGGCCATGTGTCTAGGGGTGGGCAAAATCTGATCGAACCCGCAAAAATCGAATCAACGTGACCAGTTTGTGTCGATTTTTTTTTTTTTTTTAAGTGGGTTCGGTTTTTTGGCTGTGTATGCGGGTTGAGTCGGGTAGGATTATGGATTAACCCATAAAAACCGAATAAACCTGCCCAATCCGACCCACCTACTTTAAAAAGAAAAAAAAAATGAAATGAAATGAAATAAAATGAACTTTGTTCTTTGTAGGTTCGGCTAATGAGGATTGAAAAAGATAATAGATAATTCTATTTATTTATTTACTATTCAATTTTGTCTATTCGAATTTAGTATAATCGAAAATTGGATGATTTTAATTTTTATTGACAAGTTGTCCCAAAACGACCAACCTGACCTGACGGATACTTGATTGGGTTGGATTGAATTTTAACCTTTACACGGGTTGGGTTGTGTTAAATTTTGATTAAATCGATCATATTGGGTTGGGTTTGGATTTGGGTTTAAGTTGAGGCAAAAACCGACCCAACCAACCCATGCCCACCCCTACACGTGTCTACACATAATTCTCTCATTTTGTTCCAG